CCAGATGTCCTTATCTTTCTATGCTCATTACTCAGCCGCGATACACTTTCTACCAAAATTATTTGACACATGTCATTTATTTGTTATCTTGAACATTAAGTGTAAGTTTCATTGGATTCTGTGAGAATTTATTTGTTATATTTACCAAAACTCAAGTTTATCTTTAAGCAGAATTACATCATCATGTTAAATGACTGAAGAGCGCCAGTGTTTTCAAAATGATAGATTTGCAAATTGTCTCTTTGAATCCAGAAGGGCATTAAACATTCCATTTTAGAAAGTGTTAACTTCCTTCAGGCGCTAGACGGAGGACTTAGCTCTTGATGAATGTGAAGTTTAGTGCTTGATCTACTTTAGCCAAATGTAAGCATATGGTGACATACAACATCAGGAAAACAATGTTACTCTCTGACCTTTATAATGCTGACTTAACCCCTTAGCCCTTTTAAATGTTGATCTAAGTCTACTGCTAACAGTGATCATGAAAAGGTGAATTTAATGAAGAAAAAATTGTGAAGCAACTTGGGAGAAGTAATGTTAAACCATAAGAGAAATCATTACATGACTACTGGCAATATGTTTCATGTAACAGAGGGAATTACAGGACAAAAAGTGTGAATCCTAGAACAAAGTGAACAATAGTCTGATAATTAATACTCAGTTCTTGAATAGCACATATCACACATTCATCAATGCCGGCTCTTTCAAAGAGCTGTTTATACCCTGGCTCAGCCTAGCTGCCATAATTAGGGTAATGGATCTTCAGAGAAAGTAATTCCTACTACTTGCTACCAGTAGCAATTTACTTCACCTTGGTCGACGAATGTGGCAAATTAAGATGAATGTCTTGCCAATGGGTATTAGTGCTGTAGTGGGGATTTGAACCAGGCTGTAGTGACCTTGTCTCCACAGTCTGGTGACATATCCACTAGACCACAATATGTATAATGTTATAAAAGCAGTAACATTCATTTAATAAGAGAAAGAGAGAGAGGGAGAGAGAGAGAGAGAGAGAGAGAAAGAGAGAGAGATCATTATATCCCAGGCCCCTTCTAAAAAACAAACTACATTAGGAGTGTAACATAATCTATTGCCAGATGGCCGGGATCAACCAACTTTCTATATGCTCTGTGAGCATTTATCTACAAGCATTTTGCAGTTCCTTTGCCGAAAGCAAAGAAATGATAGAATATAATCAATAATGGCTATATATACCATTGCAAGATAATAGCCGTGGGTTTTTATTTTGTTTTACTAAGAGTATTGAAATGGATCAATATTTGCGCAGGGATGAATAATGATTATGATCAGAAAGTCTCTGTCGGATAAGATACATGTAATCTATCTTGAAAACCTGACCCAAATAGGAATGTGCTACTAACTAAGGAAGTAATCAGAGCATGTGGCTGTAGCTTCAATTATTACTAATACATACACATGTTAATAATTTGAAAAGTGGCAATTTAGACCAGCATTTTGAGGATTCATGGTCTCACAGACGAAAAACTGCTCTCTGGATCAGTATATTCATGTTTAAATTATAGATCCATCTTTAAATTATAGCTCCAGCAACTCATTATGTGTTATTATAAAGCTGAAATTATGATTCTAAAAGCCTAAAAGCCGGGATATAAGAATAAAAAAGTGGGAAAAGCCCAGGAGGAAATGACAACTGTAGCACAGAGTAAAATCCACAAGTGACCTGTTGATTCTAAGAAATTCTAATAAATGCTATGATATTGTATGAAAGAGTGAATTGAATCATATCCTTAATACAATTTGTTATTTTATATTACAATTGACATAATACTTTCTAAAATAATTTTTGTAATTGCAGTTGTCACCCCCTTCAGTTTTTAACTTTCTGGCTATGAGCAGGCCCTCTAGCAAAATGTCTCACTTTCAAATTACTGTGAGAAGACAATCTGTGAAGACCTCCAAAGGTTGGGCTGGCTTATAGAATTAGACGAGACAAAAGCTTACAGAGGTACAGAAGGTATCCCTTTTATCATCTGAATTTTCATGAGAGAGAACCTCACTCATGTCACCATGGCAGCTATTGAGTTTCAGATTATGATGTTTTCTTGGAAGCATTCGCCATGCCTGTGGGGAGGATACAGCATTTTCCCAGAAGACTCTTGCTCCGGACTTTATTCCACCACGAATATGGGGTTAGGGTTAAGTTTACAAGTGCAATTGGATTTAGGGTTACGCTTACGGTTAAGGTTAAGAGTAGTTTGGGGTCTAGGCCGGGTTGCAGGTAGAAATTTAGCTAGCATAGGCCATGGAGGAATTGTTGTAGGAGAATGCCTCATAGAACTGATGTACATTCTCCTTCTGACTCTTAGCAGGCAATCCTAGCAAAAGGCCCCACTTTCAAATTATTTTGAGAACAGAATACGGTGAAGACCCTGTATTACTGTAAAAGTAGAAATATTTGCGGTACATTTATTTTCACGGATATTGCGCCAAGATCGGAGAGCGCAAACTTTAGAACTATAGACTTCTTGTGCGTGCTTTGAACGGACTGAATTGCGTGCAACGCGAAGTTAGGAACCCATGAATATATTTTGGGGTCGCTCAGGGTGAAAAATTAATCACGCGAAAATAACAGAGTTTACAGTATAACAGTTACGAAAGCCTACACGAGGAGGCAGAGTGGGCATTCATTTTATCATCTGAATTTCATGAGGGAAGACCCCACTTGTGTCGCCATGGTAGCTCGTGATACCCATGTTAAGTTGTTTTCTTTGAAGCATTCCCCTTGTCTGAACGAAGACATGCAGGAACAGAGAACACGCCTGAATCTTTGTGAACTTTATTACCAGAGGAAAGTAAAACGATAGGAAAATTGAAAGACGGAAAGGGCAACATCACTGCTATATGCAGCTTTTTGCTGTTAGCAACTTGTTTCTATCTGCATATTCCTGTAGGGAATTCTTCCCAAACACTCTCTGGCCTCTGCCATGTCAATCAGTTTGTTCAGCAAAGATAACTAAAGCCAACAGCACAGCTTATCATCACAGGATGACTGAACTTTGAAAGATATTGCAATGAGATTTGATATGACAATTTTAAGAATCACTATGGTTAACGAGAGGTTTAAACATGTTATACAGCAACAGGCTTGAATATTTATTATGCAGGTTCGAACCTCAGCAAGAGGTTGATAGTTATCCTCAAACAAAATTATTTACGGAATTATTAAAATATGGCTCAGACTGCACCAGACACGACCAGAGTGCATCTATAAGAAGAACCTTAGAGCCCTTAGGCATGCTCTGGTAATGACATCACTATCCTCTTTGCAACTTGAACAGGATTATATTCACTGACAGGACTATTCAGGACTTAAAGTACAAGAATCTACATATTTAATAAGAAGTGGTCCGGATTCTGTTCAAGGCCAGAAGGGCATCAACTCCGTGTAAAAGCATATGATTTTAACACCCTTCTGGCTCTCAACAGAAATTTGTTTAAAGCCCCACTGCACCACTACTTGTAGCTACTTGCTCCCTCAATATAGAAAACAAAGGCTTAGCAGTGCCCGTTGGTCCCCCATGATCCTCTTCTTCTTATGTTAATTGAGATCTGAATTGATGAGATAGCCCCCTGTCATTGACCACGCTGGGTGGTCTAATCCCTCCCGGCCAAACTAGTGCTGACAGGCTTTAAGAGAAATATGCATGAAAGGACTGTCTCTGTAGAGCATTGAGGGTGTGTTCTTTTCTCAGAGTATCTGGCGACGCATGGAAACATTCCAGGCAGTGGACTTCTCCCACAGCTAAATAATAAGCAGGCGTGTTTATAGTTTTCATAAATCCACACACAGACACCAGGATTGATAAATGTCTAAAAGAGCGCTTCTGGATGTGTGGTTACCATGGTATCGAGATAATAAGAGCTCTCCCAAGAGAAATTCAGACGATGTAATGAATCCCTTCTCTACAGGTGAATATCTTGCGGAGATGATTAAAAGATATGCGGGAGCCTTGTAGTGATTTGACCTGTAACAATCAGCTCATACTTTACCAGCAGATTAAATGAGATGCTTGTGTAAAATAAAAATATTGGTATATTTATTTACTTCCCTCTAACTGATTTCTTATTTCCTGAAGCCACTAAAATCACTGAAAAACGCAGTGTTTTTCTTCTCACTGAAACAGCTTTAATAGAAGAATATGGCAGGTTTTAAAAGATACATGTAAAATGTAAAAAAACAAAACATATAAAGCTGCATAAACGTCTGACTTACATGACTACATTTGACTTCTATGACTAAGCATAAATGTAATATTTTAAGTTAAAAATGTACAGCGTAACATTGAAATCTTTGATTAGGATTTGCACCCAAAGCACAGAAGATTTCAATCTAATTGAAAGGAGTTTATGAAATTATATTGTACATACGTGTAACTTAATATGTCTGCTGGTTTCTGTTAGTGGATCTCTTTCTCCCTTTGTCTGTCTCAATATGGTGCATTTAAGACAGTTACATTAAATGGAATAAATTGTAAAAGAAAGGTTTTTTCTACAGCTAACAGTAAAGCCAGAGAGACAAATACATTAAATTGACAAAAAGGATGAATGCAGAAATCCACTGAATGCATCTGAACTAACGTAATAAAACTATACCTGACATTATGTACGTCTATGTAGAAAGAAAAAAACCTTGGAAGCACTCCAAACACACAAAATGGATGCTCAATAATAGTAAAGACGAGTTTGTAACTTTGTATCCAATTAAATATGAAAAACATTAATTGTCTGTCGAGAGCCAGAAGGGCATTGTTACCATTGTGCCATCACAGGAGTTACCATTGTGCCATTACAGGAGTTACCATTGTGCCATTACAGGAGTTACCATTGTGCCATTACAGGAGTTACCATTGTGCCATTACAGGAGTTACCATTGTGCCATTACAGGAGTTACCATTGTGCCATTACAGGAGTTACCATTGTGCCATTACAGGAGTTACCATTGTGCCATCACAGGAGGTATGCTACAGTCACACGGCCATGTTACGGACCTGCGGATGCCTGCGTATATTTGGATAATGAAAATGCGTAATTTTTAACCCCAATACGGAAATTTGAGCAAAAGTTACCTATATTCTGCGGACGATACGGATTAGTTACGGATGTTACGTATGAATTACGGATGTTACGGGTAAAACCTGCGGATGAACCCATCCGCTGCCAACCCGCTGACACATGTTACTGACGACTTACGGATGACTTACGGATTTTACGGATGACTTACGAACGATACGGATGACTTACGGACGATACGGATAAGTTACGCTCGTGTCTGCGCATGTCGGCTTCCTCTGGCGTCCGCACCATCCACATATAAACCCACGTGGATCGGAGCTTGCTTCAGTCGCATTTCATCAAGTCTGAGATCTAGTTCCAGTTATTCAACAGTTTCTTCTCCATCTTTTTGGACTCTTGAAGGACTTAGAGTGATGTGTGTTCTATCTTGTGAGACAGAGACTCTCCAGTATTATTTAAAATATGATTTGCAGAATACTTTGTTTTTTATAAATGTTTACCATAATGTGCTTTGATAGATTTACAGACTGCTTGGAGATATACAGACTGTTTGCAGATATACAGACTGTTTTTTTTCTTCAAAGAAAGTCTTTATTCAATATTTCTCCACAAATCATATAACGTCGGTGGGCGTCCAAAATCTCGTAAGTCTGTTTTTTTGGAAAACACTTATGAACTTTTAGAAGCAGTATCACTCGACTAATTATCTGTCAAAATCTCGTATACCATAGCCAATGGAAAAGTGGATTTCTAACCATGTGACAAGATGGTATACGAGATTTTTACAGATAATTAGTCGAGTGATACTGCTTCCAAAAGTTCGCAAAAGTGTTTTCCAAAAAAAAACGACTTACGAGATTTTGGACGCCCACCGACGATAATCAAATGCAAAATGCATGTAATACATTACAAACAATATTATACATGTATAGAAAACAAAATATAGCAAAACAAAATTTAAATAAGCTCGATGTGCCTCGACCCATCAAGATGTACAATACACTTATTTCGTTGCGTGTTCATAACGCGTTCTATCTCATGCTGATATTTTAATTTCTTTTTAAATGATGAAAACGATAAATAACCATTTAAACACCTAGTTGAAAATATATAATATTTAGCATATAAAATATCAAAATTAAAAGAAGAATAATTTCCACCTGGTATGCCAAATACAAAATCATTAAAAGATAACATTATTTCACTTTTGAGAGTGTATTTTTCAAAATCATCTAAAAATCGACGATTGAAGGGGCATTCCCAAAATAAATGGGCAATAGTTTCAGAGTGTTTTGAACAAAAAGAACACAAATTTAATATACCAACAGTTTTCAGATACTTGTTAACACCAAGGATATTATGAAGAATTTTATATTGTAAATATCTAAGTTTTCTTGATAAAGAACATTTAAAAGGAATCATATAAATTTTGTCCCAAGTAACAATTGGTTTTGAAACAATGTTCCTCCATTTGTTTTGTGAAATAGGAGTTTTAAAGATTTTCTCAACACAGATTTTATAAATAAATTTACATCCTTTCGTTACCTTGTTCAATTTTTTTGTTGTCAAATTTAAGCATCAAGAGTTGCATGATTTGTCTGTTTGTTATGTTTGGCCAACTGCTTAGGCCATGCGCTGCTGCCAGGGAACTGCTCCGGCGGTGCCATTGTAGTAATACTTGAGGTACAGGCGCTGGCGCTTGGCAATCTTGGTGGTGTAGTTGCCAGCAAGCCTCTGTTGCATGTCATCCAGCACGCCCCCCTCTCTCCATGCACCCGGGATGATGTTGTGCTGGTCGTCCTCTCTGTCCATCATGCCATTCTGCTCAGCGGATGCCTGGTCTCTCAGGAGGTTGTGGATGCACAGGCAGGCGAGGAGGATGGTCTCCACTGTGGAAGGCACCTGTGCCATAGCACTCAGAAGACACCGGAATCTGTTTGCAAGAATGCCAAAGGCATTCTCCACACATCTCCTGGCTCTGGAAACTCTATAGTTAAATATCCTCTCCTCCATGGTCAGTGGCTTGGCACCAAAAGGCTTCATCAGGGTGGTGCGTAGTGCAAATGCAGCGTCAGCAATCACGAAATAAGAGATGTCTCGATCGTCATGAGGCAGTGGCTCATCTGGTGGTATTCCAATGTTCTCATCGTCAATTGCCTCTTTCAGACTGCACGTGTTCCAAATCTGGGCATCAGAACTCGCACCACCTGCTCCCACCTCCACCCACCGGAACTTGTAGTTGCCATCAACCAGGGCAAGGAGTACAATCGAGTTGTACCCCTTATAGTTGTAGAACTGGGAGCCACAGTTCGCGGGTGCCTTGATGCGGATGTGCTTGCCATCTAAGGCTCCCAGGCAATGGTGGAAGTTCCACCGGTCGGAGAAGGTCTGGGCAATGCCCTTCCACCCCTCTGGAGTAGATGGGTTGCTGATGGTCTCCTCGCCATACTCAGCGTAGATGGCCTGACACACGTCCAACACCAAGAGTGAGATGGTGTTGTGGGGTACATAGAATAGGTACATCAGGCTGTGGTAGGAGTCCCCACTGGCAAGGTAGCGCATGGTGATGGCGACCTTCAAGCCTACTGGAAGGGCCTTCCTGTACCAGGTATCATACTTCTGTAAGCGAGGAGTGAGGCGGGTGACCATTTCGGCAAACATGGCAGGTGTGATGCGGGTGAAGTTGCGGAAGCCCTGAACATCCTCATTGCGTAGCAGGTGCATCAGGTTACCATAGGCACCCTGGTGTGGTCGCAATGTGATCCAGTGACGAACCCAACACATCCTCTCTTTTCTCCTTTCAAGGATGGCTTGCATCTTGGCCATCGGGATCTTCATCTGCATCTGATTGTGTTGGATGGCCATCAAACAATCCAGCAACACAAGGCGGCGTTCTCTCTCCATCTTGAGTGACCTGTGAAAGTCTACAGTTGAAGAACTGACAATGATGAGGATGCTGGCAGCATCCAGGGTTGCATACCCAAGTGAAGACCATTTGGCATGGGCGACATCCGCCGAAATGAAAGAAGACATAGGTAAAAATTCCGCATATTATCCGTATCTCAACCGTAACATACATATCCAATCCGTAACATCCGTATCCCATCCGTAATATTCGTATCCCATCCGCAAGCATACGCAATTACCGCAAGTCCTATCGTAAGATCCGCAATATATATGTCAAAAATACGTTAAACATACGTAACTCCTACGTAATAGTGTTTACGTACCCCTATGTATCCGCAGGCATCCGCACACCCGACAAACTGTGCGGATCAGTTACGTATCTAACGTATCCTGCGGATGAGTTTAGGTATCTTACGTATGAGTTACGTATTTTACGTATGGATAACGTATATTCTGCGGATGCTTACGTATATTTCATCCGCAGCAAAATTTTGAGATTTTCAAAATTCCGCTGCGGATCTGCGTATGTCTGCGGATCCTGCGGATTGAATTACGGATGGATACGGATGCTTACGGATGATACGGATCCTTGCGGATGCTTACGGACTTTTATCCGTAAGCATCCGCAGCTACCGTAAGAGGCCGTGTGACTGTGCCTTTACCATTGTGCCATTACAGGAGTTACCATTGTGCCATTACAGGAGTTACCATTGTGCCATTACAGGAGTTACCATTGTGCCATTACAGGAGTTACCATTGTGCCATCACAGGAGTTACCATTGTGCCATTACAGGAGTTACCATTGTGCCATTACAGGAGTTACCATTGTGCCATCACAGGAGTTACCATTGTGCCATTACAGGAGTTACCATTGTGCCATTACAGGAGTTACCATTGTGCCATCACAGGAGTTACCATTGTGCCATTACAGGAGTTACCATTGTGCCATTACAGGAGTTACCATTGTGCCATTACAAGAGTTACCATTGTGCCATTACAGGAGTTACCATTGTGCCATTACAGGAGTTACCATTGTGCCATTACAGGAGTTACCATTGTGCCATTACAGGAGTTAACACAGATTTCTGTCCAAGTCCTTCTCGATTTTAACCAATGAAAAAGAAAGTGCATGAAAGGATGTCAAATAAATATAACGTAATTTCAATTTGAATAAAATAATGTAGTATATACTTACATCTGAGTCTTCATTTTCTTCTGTTATGGAACTCTCTTTGCTGAATGCTGTCAAAAATAAAGGTAAAGAATAAAATACAACAATTAATTCTTTATTTTCATTTTTAGACTTCAGAATTTTAATCATAATAGAATATGTTGTGATAAACCTTTATAATGATTTATGCCACATGTGACATATTCCATAACATACCGGTAATATAAAATGAGGTTCAAATTGATTTGTTCTAAGAACTGCATTTTGTGGCAATACAAAAACAAAAGGAATGTGCCATTGTAAAAGTGACCACATGGAAGTTTTCTAGTGTTTAATTTCACATGAATAGAAAAGGGTAATATTTCACAATGGAGATCATCTCCATCATTGAATTTTTGTTAATGCATTACGTATGAAGGAAAGAAAAAATATTGTTTCAAAATAATTGCATCATTATAATACAAGCACGATTATAATAATTGTTCTGGCAATACAATTAGGTGATGATAAAATGAGAAGCAATACAGTCAATTGAGTATCTATTAATCATAATAATTTACTGATAATTAATCATTCACAGGAATTCTACTCTTATTCTTAATCTTTTGAACAATTCACACCAATTACATTAATTCACTTTCGTTTGAAAAGCTCTCTGGAAAAAATGAATGGATAAATAAATTAAGGGAAAGGTTTCAATAACACTTTACATGTATATATAGAGAACAGAAACTATAAGGAGATATTTCATTTAAAATGACACAATAGATATCCTGCCGACACACAGGCAGGTATGCATTGTCTCGTAGAGGGAGCTGTTTCACATTTTTGAGAAAGCTGCATTGACCGTTGTGTAAACACTACAAGTATAGGGTTCAGCATACTGTCAGTGAATTACAATTTTGTCACTCAGTTAGGCCCTATATTTTCCATTACAGATAATATAAATGGTATTCTAATATTATTCTATTTTGGCAAGATGAAACATGTTTGTATGAAACATACTTGTATTTCTATGTAACTTACAAAGGTTGAAATTACATATAGAAATATGTTCCAAGAAAATCTGAAGAAAGGATGCCTAAACTTTGACTGATTCACTATGCCATGAAAAATAAGGGCCTCGTTTCAAAACCCAATATTAGCTTTTTCACTATACACACTTAAATCAAAATGACTTGAAGGTTTTAATATTTCCTATAACATTGCGTTTGATGTTGATAAGGGAAATGTAGGGAACAAGGACTTGAAAGTTGAAAGAGAGTATGAACATTGTCTTGTTGTATACCAAAGAGGGAGCTATTCAAGATTTGAAGCATGATATATTGACTACCGGGTATCATCAGTTCACCATACCTTAATGTGGGTGATTGGTTCTACGAGAGCTAGGGAAGTACATGTAAGAAAGAGAGACAGACAGACAGAAAGATAGAGAGACAGAGAGAAAGAGAGAGACAGAGAGACAGAGAGACAGAGAGTGAGACAGAGAGAAAGAGAGAGAGAGAGAGAGAGAGAGAGAGAGGGAGAGAGAGGAGAAAAAGCCATATCTAGAATAGGAAAGAAATGAAAAAGGAGAGGTGGAGAAGGAGAGACAGGGACAGAGACACAGAGAGAGAGAGAGAGAAAGAGACAAATAGAGAAAGAGACAAAGAAAGAGACAGAGAGAGAGAGAGAGAGAAAGAGAGAGAGAGAGAGAGAGAGAGAGAGAGAGAGAGAGAGAGAGAGAGAGAGAGAGAGAGAGAGAGAGAGAGAGAGAGGGGTAGGAGAGAAATCCAAATAGAATAGAAAAGAAAAGAAATGAAAAAAGGAGATGTGGAGAATGAGAGACAGAGAGAGAGAGAGAGAGAGAGAGAGATAAAAAACATTGGGATGGCTCTCATTTTAAATGATCTATAAAATTTACGTAAACAAGCAACTAAAATGCAAAAGAGCATGAAAAAGGGGGAAATAAACAAAGAAAGTAGGTAGGGAGAAAGAGAGAGCAAAGACATTGTAAAAATAGCTCTAATTTCCAATGCTCCAAAACATATCAAGTAAACAAGCAATGGGAAACACAATGAAATAGGAAGAAAGTTCAAAAGTACATGTCAATAATTGATGTGTATCTAAAATTGTTGCTTTGGAGGGGAAAAGAAGATAAAATGCACAACAAATAGAGAAAAACACAGAACAGACATCAAAGAAGGAGAGATCTTAAATTTGGTTAGGAGTAGGAATTCATAAAGGGGAAAAACCAAAAAAGAAAAGAGAATTAGATGAAAAAGAAGAGCTGCTCAATCTAGCAGACAAGTGCGGCAAGGATATGATTTCTTCATCAGCCTTTGCACAGAGAGCGATGACTGACAAGGCTCTACCATCATCTGGCGAATGACGTCAGAGCAGTTTTACTTTACTTTTATAAAATCGAATGTTGATAATATCCTGGTTTTCACATTCCTCCTCATACAATCCAACATATCCTCATCTGATTGCTTCAACTGAATGCATTTCCTGATGCTGACATGTCAATTGGTATAGCAGATTTCTGGTCCAGGTGAAATTCAAACTTCAGTGCCTTTTCCGTAGAGTTCATTTCACATCATGAATGCAATACATTCCTCACGCAGAAGTTCTTTTATCCCATATCCGTTTAAATACGGGAATGTAGTGGAATAATATTTATGTAATTATTGCAATAGATGACAAATACAAATCACTGATTAACTGGGGCATAGATATTGAGTAATTGGTGATATAAAAATTAATATTTAATAGTACATGTAGCTTTATATATGTATATATACTAATTTTATTCAACAAAGTTAGGTCTGTAAAGGCACCACATTGCAACATCTGACTTTGCAAATATTGCAGCTTGACCCCAAAGGTATCAAATGGTTAACGAAAAGGTAAAGCGAAAGGGGTGGGGGTGAATTCACTTCTTCATCTTCATGATCTGTACTTGAATACAACTTTCAGATCTTAGACATTCACTTTTCCTTCATAAGATTTCTTAATTACAGATATAAATTGAACTCAAACTAACTGGTGTACTTTTATTAAGGGCATTACGTCCATCGCCAACAAGAAGGCTGTAAGTGCTATTTATTGTCTATGGCAGTAACAGCCTTCTTACTTGCTTCTATGTTTGCACGGTTTTGGATGCAAGTATGACATCTACATATATAATTCACTCGCTTTTCCAGCAAAGTGAAGTATAAGAAAACAGTCAACCTATATCAGATGAACTCTATTCTACACATCTGTTTTGTGATAAGTGCTTGTTATCTGTACCAAATTTATGCTTGCAAAGTTTAGGATGAAGTATAACTCCTATGTGTACAATTTGCTTGCTTTTCCAATTTCCAGGGAAGTAAAGTATATGAAAACAGTCAACCCATATCAAACGAGCACTATCCTACACATCTTCTTTGGCGATAAGTGCTTGTTATGATACCTGATAATGGACATCAGCTTGTTGTTTTAACATTCAGTGATGCTTATGGATGCCTAAGTGGTCATCACAGCATCCGTTGGGGCACAGGGGTTTGGGTTAACTATTGAAATGCTGATTCTTTATAAAGGTCAACATATTCCTAAATATTCTGGTTGGTTGCTTTCTGTGTTGCTATGATACACCTAATGGGCTCTGAGGTCACCCCCATTTTATGCACTGATGCCGATGTCTGAAAATTACTGAATAACTTTTGTTTTTCAGCAGGGTCTGGAAAATTTTCTATACAGATAATGTCGATTTTTCCTGATACCTATAAAGGCTCATTTAGATATGAAGTGGTAAACTGCAACACTTTTTATAACATGTTAATAAATGGCAACTGGGGGCAAAAATATCATTGCCTTTGTTGATCTTCCAATCACCCCATTTGTGCCAATGATTACTGGGTTAATTAAGCAGCTTATTGCCGGGACACCTGTCACTTTTCCCACAGATATACCCTACATACATACCAGAACTTCCAAGTTGTTACTGTTTTGACTGGGTAAAGACACATATACATAATATCACAAACTTATACGTATGAAAATACAGGACCGTCAAGGAAAAGGTTTGAGAACCCCTGCACTACATCTACAAAATGCTCTGAATGCAGTGCAGATATGATTGATCAAAACCTGTGTACATGTATAATTGGTCATTACTTACTAAAACTCGCTGGATTTGATGTTTTTCTTGTCAATTATGAAGTGCAATCGCACAATGTCTTAG